TATCGATTTTCCCATTATATTTGTATATTGTTTTCTGACTTTGTCCACATCTTCCTTTAGTTCTTTGGGAATTTTAAATATAGCTACTTTTAAATCTTTGGTAATTCTACCATCTGGTCTTCCTCTAGGACAGTTTCTGTTATTTTATCCTTTTTCCTTTGAAAGTCATATTTTTTTATTTCTTTGTATGCCTTAATGACTTTTTTGTTATTGAAAATGGGTTATTTCAGTTTTATAATGTTGTATTCTGAATATTAGATTCTCGTCCTTGAAAATGGTTTGTTTTATGTTTTGTTTTGTTATTTTTGTGGAGTATCTCTGTGTTGGCGATTCACCTAAGATGTAAACTTTCTTGTCAGGTTTTCTTTGTTCTGGGCTTTGCATGCTGACTTTTCAAATTTCAGCAGATATGTAAATGTTTTTAAGTGTCCCAGTACATAAATATCTGGCTTCCCAAGGGAGAAAAGGGAATAAGTAAAGTCGTAAATAATAATTAACTGGTTCTATTTCCTTACATCCCCTGCATGCCTTTTCACATGGAGGCAGCAACATTGGTGGTCCGTTTTTATGTCTGCACCTTCATCACCAGATGTATTAATTAGCATTCAGAACACATATTCTCTGATATTCAGAGGACTGCTTGCCCTCACTCGTGTAAACCACTTCAGGAGTGTTAGTATGGCTACCTGCCAAGGGGCTATAGAGTGGAAGAATGAGTAGCTGCTCCAGCACTATTGGCTTAAAATGAACCAAAATGTACCACCACTTGCTGGCCAAGCGTTTCCCTGGAAGATGTAAGCCTTTGAAAAGACTTTCAAATTCCAAAATAATTGTATTAGTTTCTGTAAGTGCATTTGTCTTGCTGTGAAGACTTTCTACTCTGCCTCCTTCCATGATTTCACTTCAGCCTCTTGTTTCTTTACTCTTATTTATTAACTGTATCCCCTTGGACACCCTCTGTCCAGGTCACCTCATATACGTAGTACCTCCTAAGTCATAAGTATAGATACCCCATTTAAACTTGAACTACCAGCATACCTTTTGAAGGATTTCCACTATAGTAATTCTCTCTAGCCACATTGGCCATCTATTTTACACCTTCTGTATTTGTGTTTGTTTTTTCCCCTTTGATTTTTATACATCATCATACTCACTGTCTTTCGAAATACTGGTTTCCCTTTATTTATCCATTCTATTTGCCTGGAGGAATCCCAACTGTGGGTATCCGAAAATAAAATCAGGCAAGAGAAAATGCAACTAAGTGTGCAAGACTACTATTTTATCTGTTAGTGTAAAATAGAATAATTTGCTCTAATTATAAAATTGGCTTTCTCACTCAGAAAGACTCCTCAGTGCTGCTTGGTTTCTTATGTTCTTGTACAAAAATAAAACTAGATATAATATTAATTCACAAGAATTTTTTATTTAAGGTTTATTTTTGTTTTTAATTTTAAAAAAGTATGCATTGAGATAGTTTTTCTTCATACATTTAATTGTATATTTTCCTTTCACAAATGAATAAGAGAGTAGTATTAAAGTTTCCATCACTGTAATTCTTTCACTTGTAACTCAGAGGTTCTTACTATACTTTCTAAATTTTAAGTGTATTTGTTGTTTTAGCTGGAGGAGAGCTGGAATGTTCAGAAGCAAATGAAGATTCTGCGGAAGAAGCAAGCCCAGATTGTGAAAGAGAAAGTTCAGTTGCAGAGTGAGCACAGCAAGGCTGTCTTGGCAAGAAGCAAACTAGAGTCTCTCTGCAGGGAACTTCAACGTTACAACAAGACATTAAAGGTTGGTTTATTTATTTATTGTTTTTTAGGAGATATTTAGGCTGATTTTATAATCAGTGAGTATCTATTTGAAGTAAATCTTTGCTTCTCTTTCTGTAGTGGGACTTACATGTAATAATGGCTGATGGTTGATTTAGGTACACATGTTCTAGTGGATGAGGTTCCCGAGCAGAGGGCTTTGTGGGGTCCTCAGAGATATACTTACTACCTTGCTTTTTGTTTTGCTTGGGCTAGGTCATTATAAATTGAAGATTCACTCTTTTTATCTTTTGAGTTTGGGTTCAGGGAAGAGCTCCTGAATCTATATCATTTCATTACAGGGAATCTACTTGTCTGTTAAGGAATGTTATGTCCATAGTCCTCCACTTTAGGAAGCTCAAGTCACCATATACTCTGCTGACCATTAATGTAGTTGATTACCATGTCCTCCTGGGGTAAGGAATGAAATGCCTACCTGAAATGAAGAAATTACTAGCAATAGACTTGAGTCAGAATGAGTCTGAGAAGAAAAAGTAGGAAGTAGAGCTGTACTACAGATGCTAATGGGATAATAGTTTACTTAACTGCTCTCAGACCTTCAGCTATTCATTTGCTAAGTACTTTAGTTACACCTTGGCTAATAATAAAGGAAGAGGCAGAAGGTGTCAAAATTTATATTAATAAGGAAACAAAAAAAGCAGCAGACATACTAGAAAAAAATTGTATAATGGGAATGTGTTGCTTTTAGAAATAGGTACGAAGATACAGTTGGAGTATTATTAATTTAAGCAAGATATCAGATTATCCTTTCACAGCAAGTCCCCAAGGACCTAGAGTATAGGACAGTTCTGAAATGAATCTTCATCTGGTATAACAGTCTTATTTTTTTCCCTTGCTTATGAAGCCTTGGATTTTGATATAAAAGTAGGTTGAGGTTGTTTCCACTTTTCAAATAAGCCAGCATTTTGACTTGATTGTTAATTGTTTCAGTAAAGACCTTTTGAGGTTTATATCCTGGGAAAAAGATCTCTTTAGGCTGATCCAATAAGGACGAAGGTCTGCCTAAACACTGAGGAGGACATTTAATGTGGAAGAAGCTTGATTGTGGAGAAGCTCTTATTTGTACTTGAGTGCAGTGAATGTGTAGATGGTCAAATAACACTTTATACTAGGGCAGTTTTATCTGTTTCATAAGTTACTGAGAAAACCCCTTCTTCTGAGTAAGAGCTTTCTGGTCATAGATCAAGAAGAAGGAATTGTAAGTCAGAAGCAACACTTCAGGCATCATTAAATGGACCCACATAGCAACATCTTTGAGCATTTTATTTATAGGTATAACTATTAACAGAAATTATTTTGCATAATAAGGAAGAAAATATGCAGCAGGCAAGAGAAGAAGAAGAAAGTCGTAGAAAAGCAACTTCACATTTCCAGCTTACTTTAAATGAAATTCAAGCACAGCTGGAACAGCATGACATACACAACGCCAAACTCCGTCAGGAAAACATTGAACTGGGAGAGAAACTGAAGAGGCTTATTGAACAGTACACACTGAGGGAGGAGGTAAAGATGTTTTGTTTATTTAGACTGCATCTTATTACCAAAAATTATTACTACCATTCATTGCTAATTTAAAACTGTTGTCACAGGACAAGGTTATATTCTATTTTTAATATACTTTTGTATATGCATGGTAGAAATCGGGCATTTATTAGGTAAGGATTAGCAATTAGTCCTTGTGAACTGAAGGACTAATTGGGATCCTCACTTCATGGCCTAGAAGCCTGTGCCTTTGGATATCTGAGATAATTTCTAGCAGATGTGTTAAGTACTACTTGTTTGCTGTGTGATACTTAGATGGTGATTTTAGCATACAGATTGTATTTCCCATATTCAACCTAACAATAAATAAATATTGGGCTCCCAAATACTCTTAAGACTGCTATGATGATCTGTACAGTGTATAAGTACAATTGCATTCCACCTACTATATTATTTGGGGGGGAAAATGAGCCTTCTAATTCGTCACACATTTCTCTTGGTGGCCACACATCCAATGAAGTAAAAAGTTCATAAGAATAATCTGGCTGCAGAACCCAGTCATTGCATTTATTTTACAAGCTAGTCTTGAAGTTGAGTTGTATCTGTATTAGAAGCAAATTCGCGATAAACTGCTCATTTTAGTTTTCTTTAAGAGATCAGCTATGTAGGGTGTCCATATTTTTCTAACCATTTTCTTTCATCTTTTAACAGTTTTCTACCTTCTTACTATAGCAAGTTTCAAGTTTAAAAGTAGAATACATCAGTTAGCTTTAGAAGTTATCCGCTTTTGTATCTATCAACTGTTGTTTTATCTGTTTTTAAACGAATACAAGACATCACTCAGCACTGTCTGAATGGGTATCTTGAAATGACAAGACTGAAGCAGATCCACATTGACATGATAAAAATTTAGCAATAATCAGTCAAATGCCTTGTCACCATTTACATTTCTGTGACCCTCCCATCCATAAGATTGTTGGAATCAGACCCAAAAAAGTTTATAGGTTTTACTAGTTACTATGTCTCACATCTTTTTATTGTGTAAGCTTTCCTCTTTCTTTTCTTCTCCTTGCAATATATTTTTAAGGAAACTTTTTTTAGCCCTATGGAGTGAATATTCTTTTGAGTAGATTTATTTTTTTATAAAGTTCTCATTTTGTTTAACAGACTCTTTAAATGAACTGTTTTTTAACAATGATAGTCTACTTCACTATTAATGTAGCATATTTCTAAAGTATATTTTCATGTCATATCACTTGTAAGTCTTGTGTATTTTAGGGTTACCAAATTTTCTTTTTTGGTCAAGATATAATTTAATAATGTAATGAACTGTTTTCAGTTAGATCTGGTGCACTTCTCAAAATTTAAATAGGTTACCAGTTATGAACCAGCATTTTTTCCTATCATATGGGATATTTTAAGTAAAAGAGTTACTATTTCTTCATCTGAGAATAGTGTCCTAATTTCTTTCTTATCCATAAATACCACTTAGCAATTTAGCTTGGAAATTATAATGGCTTGTCTTACCAAGTGTGTATGTAGTACATGCTAGTCACCAAGCACCTTAAATAGTTTAACCAGGGCAATGATTTTTACAATAACTCTGCAAGGTAGATGTGGTTATATCCACCTCCTTAGATAAAGGAACTGAGATTTATTAAGGATGGAATTTGCCCAAGCCATTCACTGAGCCTGGGTTTGACCCTCAGCTATTTCTACCATTATATCATGCTACTACCCAAAGAAATTTGGGAAAATTTAATGAGAAAAAAACGTTCAGGAATTTATGAGTTTAATAGTTTAATCTCATGTGATCTCCATCTTTTTCTTGATAACTTAGATGTAATTTTTAATGTAGAGCAGAAATGAGAGATATGAAGCTGTTGATGATGACAACCCACCTCCAGCAACGATGGCACCAGGTAGTAATCAGTGGGGAGGATTCCTGCAGGTTCAGGATGGTTGCAAGGTGGTATACATAGATGTTTTTGCAAGCATAGGGACAGAAATATTTAATGTTATTAGCTATGATTATATTAGCAGGAAGAACACAGAAGCAAGTAATTGTAATTTGTGTTATTTCTTTTTACCAGTGTGTACCCTTTTTTATTAAGTGATGGAAGAAATTTTATTTTTCCTACAGCGTATTGATAAAGTGTTCAAGCGTAAGGAACTGCAACAACAGCTTGTGGATGCCAAGCTTCAGCAGACAACACAGCTCATAAAGGAAGCTGATGAAAAACATCAGAGAGAGAGAGAGTTTGTAAGTTTTATTTCTTAAAGCTATTGCCAAAATTATAACCAAAGCCTTTAAAAACATTTAAACCTATTCATTGTTTTACATACATCTGAATCATGCAATTGGGTTTTTCACTCTTAGATTGGGAAATGTTAGAATATATTCAGCCTTTTATTTCTGTTAAAATTTTCATATAAAAAGTATACTGGAATTTTTGGGCCAAATTAGTGGAAACACCATGTTTTATTTTTTCTTTGTCTAGAGTATTGTCTTGCTTTTTAGGTAATGATCATCAGGTTCAAATTTGTGTCAGTCATTGGGCAAATTAGGTCTTGAGTGCTAGAGGCAATTATATTTCACATCAAGTTTACCAACTGTGAACATAGTGAGAGCCCATACTTAACATACACAAATTAAACTATACTTAACTTGACCTAGAAAACAATTAAAATAATACGAACTGTTTCATCCAGTGAATCATTTACATAGCCTAGGCCCTGAGGTTAACGTGCTATGGAATACTCAGTTCGTGATTATTCTTTAAGATGTGACAACTCATACTAAGTGCAGGTCTAAAGATGCATTTTCACAGTGTGGACGTTCAGTGCCAGCCAACAGTGGTATTCTGAGCACAACTGAAAAAGCAATTGCCATTTCTGACGTGGACTATAAATTGTGTGTGTACCTTCACATTACATAACATATATTGCATATGTATGCTTTCTTGTTGGTTTAAGGACTTTTTAAGGCTTAATTGGACCATGTATAACATTTTGTCTCGGAAATTTAAGGACCTAATTTTGTAACTGATTACCATCCAACTTGTACTGTATAATTTTCTTTTAAACCCATGTATACAGGGTGGGGCAAAAGTAGGTTTACAGTTGTTTGTATGGAAAATAATACAATAATTAACATAATAAAAGAATAAACTGTTCCTTATACTCACAACTATAAACCCACTTTTGCCACACACTGTATTGACTAGACCCCTCCTTCCCCCAACTTTTGTAAAAGTAGTTGGAAACCTGATTTCTGTGTTGATTACTTTGCTCCATAGTTTTTCTGCCTAATCTTGCCTCTCATGGAGTAAAAGAGCTTCTAAGCCATCCAGATACTGTCAAGATTCCTAGTCTTGTTTTGTGCTTCTATTTGTCCTAATTATTTTCACCTAAAAGACCACAGTTTAACCCTGAGTTTCATAAGCCTGATTAGGCCTCTTGGATACTACTTCTTTATAAGCAGGTAAAAGATTATTCCTACATATCTAAGTGTTAAACTGGTACAGATCAAAGATAGAGATAAATGATAATAGATGTAATCATCCACTGACCTATGATTCTTTCTATGAGAATAAAGGCTAAGGCTATCTTCATTTGACATTTTAAATGTGTAATTACTATTAGTATTTTGCCAGAATGTGTCTGTTTTCTAGTTATTAAAAGAAGCAACAGAATCGAGGTACAAATATGAAGAAATGAAACATCAAGAAGCACAATTAAAACAGCAGGTAACTTTACATCAGAAGATGATAGAATTTATGAATCTCCTTGTTCCCAGGCAGAAACATCTAGAACAGAATACATCTCTTATTGTCTTGGAATTTTTATGTTCATTTAGGGTGACTAACTTACTGTGATTTGACTGGGACTTATGTTGATTTTAGCTCTGTAAATCCTATGTCCCAAGAAATTACTCAGTCCACAGGAAATCAGGATAACTAGTGAGACTATTTTTATTGTGCACTTTCTACTATCCTAGATACTTTACTAGTACCTTTCTAATTTTGTTATTTGAGGAAAGTAAAACTGGCATAAAAAAAACACCATTTTATCTGTAGTTCAAAACTCCATATGCTTTTACACAGGTCCTCTTCCATGTAATTGTGTGTGAGAACTTTTAAAAAAAATTGGAGTTTTAGTCTTCTTCTGTTATAGTCTCTTATTTGTGGAGTAAAGTAAGCAGATGCTGCAAACTCATTTAAAGGATAGAGGAAAGATCGTGTTTTTCATATCTGAAACATTACTAATACCTATGTAGTTTATACAGACAGAAGCAGATGGTATTTATATGTATAATTTATAAAATTAACTAGATTATATTCTGTTCAAAAAAGTACTACTTGTTTAAAATGTATTATAAAATGTTTAAGAATTCCCTTAATTTGTTCTAAAGTACACTAATACATTAAGAGTGGTATGCATCTATCTTCATAGCAACCCTTTTGAGTGCTATGTATCTTTGGGAACGTTTTATAATGTAGTGATATTCTGTAAAGCTAACCTAACTTCTATGGCAGTAGAAGAGGAATCAAATAGAAGTTTCTGTTGTAAGTTATGATCCTGTTGGCATGCTTCTAGTAAATTGAAACCCCTTATTATTCCTATATATTCATTCACTGATTTTTTGGATTTTTTATTAAAAAAATTTTTTTTTTAGAGAAAAAGGGAGAGGGAGAGAGGTCAGTTTGTTGCTCCACTTATTTATGCATTCATTGATTTATTCTTGTATTTGCCCTGACCAGGGATGAAACCTACAACCTTGGCATATTGGGACGATACTTTAACCAGCTGAACTATCCAACCAGGGCCTTAGTGCTATACATTCAATTGGCCACATACATAAAGAAGAGAATCAATGTAGGGAAGGTATAAAAAGTCCTTGTAAGGAAGGTGTTTCTTAAGGAGGGTGGGAGCTGTGAGTCATTCATAATTGTTTCAGTAATAAGTCACTTGTTTCAGTAATAAGTCACCTGAGAGCCTTTTCACCAAGCTCACTAGGCCAGCTCTTACGTTGTACTGTTGTTGTCAGTCTGTGTGACCTGTTACTCATCTTACCTAATCATTTGTTTGTTTCCTTTGCTGTCCACTCATCCTTTTCCTGCTCCCAAAGTGTGGCTGCCCTTCCAAAGACTTGGTCTCATTCTCTGCTCTTACCGTGTCATTTTCCAGCGCTTGTTCATGATCTCAAAGCCTTGGTGTGTCTTGGCCCACTGTTTTGTAATCCAGCCACATAAGTGCAGGTGTCATGGTAGTTTCCACTGACTGACTATTCAGAGTGGACTAGCATTGACTTGTCAGATGGATATGCCATCTTCAGTAAAAATGGATCATGCTAAAAGTGCTGTAACTTCTCAGCTCCCTCAAGAGCCAGAACTCCCTCATTCTGCCCAGGCACCACTGTTTTTCCTACCCCCAGGCCAGCAGCCTCAGAGGCACTGTCACTTTTCTTTGGCAAAACACTTCACAGCAGTCACCCTTAGCCTTGGGTTCACTTTCTGCATTTCAGTTACCGTCCAAACATATTACGTGGAAATTCCAGAAATAAACAAGTTATAAATTTTAAATTGCATACCATTCTGAGTTGCATGAAATCTTTTGCCAGATGCTCTGTTCTGCCTGGGATGTGAGTCATCCCATTTCCCAGACTCTCCACACTGTATATGGTACTGATTTATCTGATTGGTACCCATTTATCAGAGAGAAAGAGATAGACTACATTCCCATAACTTTTATTACAGTATATTATTATAAAAAATATATTTTATTGTGGTTGATCACTTGCTGTGCCTAATTTATATATTAAACTTTATGATTAGTACATAGGTATAGGCGGAAACATAGTATATATAGGGTTTGGTACTGTGCATGGTTTTGGGTATCCACTTGGGATCTGTGGAATACACTGTTTCCTCATCCTGAAAATAATATATGAGATCATCTCTAAAACATTCCATCCTGGTCCCAATAAAATAATTTAACCCTCAAGTCATAGTTAAGGGCTCACTCACATACTGTCTTTTCTCATTAATACTGTGACCCTTTCCCCCCAAAAAGGTGACTCTGCATTCTACATTCAGTTAACATTTTTTTTCTAGCTAGAATAAAAATTCCTTGAGGGTTGGGGGTTAAAAGATGTTTCTACCTTTTTTAGCTTTTCTTTTTCTCAGCTATTCTCCCACTAAATTCTTTCTTCAACCAAACCATTTTTATTTCTGTTTCATTTTCCTTCCATGTTTAAGAAATAGATAGCCTTGATATCAAACTAAGGATTATGTAGAGGTAGTACACATAAAAGAATGACCTTTTTCCATGAATAGCATTTGAAATGTAAGGAGAGGAGTGGTGCATAAAACATGATGATTGTATGACATTTTTAGCTATTCCACTGTACATTTTTATTATAATTGATGGAATACTTATACATTTTAAGCATTTACACAGATGCTTAAACAAAATTTCATAAATCTTAGCAGTTCGAAGATTTGGTGTTTATTCTTATTTTTATCACATACAACAGTCATATAACCTGTGTTTATCCATATTATGTTCTTTTTTTAAAAAATGTTTTTTAATTGATTTCAGAATGAGGAAGGGAGAAGGAGAGAGAGAGAGAAACATCAATGATGAGAGTCATTGGCTGCGTCTTCCATGGCCCCTACTGGGGATCAAGCCTGCTTCCTAGCATGTGCCTTAACTGGAAATTGAACCTCAGCCTCCTGGTTCATAGTTTGACACACAGTCATGGAACCACGCCGGCGAGGCATAGTCATATTACGTTCTTTTGAAAGTTTTAGGATTTTAAATTACATATCTGGAACTCAGAATATTTCATACTTTTTCTGTAGCTTTCTCTTTATATGGATAAGTTTGAAGAATTCCAGACTACCATGACAAAAAGCAATGAACTTTTTACAACCTTCCGGCAGGAAATGGAAAAGGTATTTACATATTTATAGTAGAATATTACTAGAAAATTTACATGTGATTACTGTTTGGATGAGCTTATATTGTGATAGCATCTTAAGTTTACCTTTTTTGATCCTCCACTGGTATATTCATGCATTGTGTCCAGAAATTACTCCAGGTTGCTAATACTCTCAAAATTCAGTCATTATTAAAGAGAATTATCCTAATCACAGCTTATTCTTAAAAGTAGATTTTTTTTTAGTCCTTTCCTGAGGATATTTTGTTTTGTTTTGTTTTGTTTCATTGCTATTAGAGGAAGGGGAAGAGAAAAACATTGATGTGAGAGAGAAACATTAGTTGGTTGCCTCCTGTACACACCCTGACTGAGAATCATACCCGTTACCTGTTAGTGTAGAGATCAAAGCTCCAACCCAGTGAGCCACCCAGTCAAAGCTACAAGTAGATTGTTTTAAATCACTTTCGATCTCTCCTCAGTTCTTTCACAAAGTGTTGTGTAAATTATCTTGTAAAGATCCAGACCAAGGATATAATACCTTTTGTTTTAAATAGATTATTTCTAAGGATCAGCTAAAATATTTTTAGTTTTTTGTATTTAAAGACTGAATAAATTTTTAAAAATTTTTATATAAAACTGTTCTGGGTCATCCCACTTCAGAATATGGGCTAAAAAGGCAATTTTAAAGAATATGGTTATCTGCCACTGTCCTGGGACTGAGATTTGTTTGCATTGTGTGACTTCCTTGGGGCAAATTATTTACTTTGTCATTTCCCTTTTAAAATTGAGATTTTAAGAAATGGTGGTCATTAGAGGTTAAGTAACAGTAGGGTCTGGCATATTATAAACAGTCAATAGATAATAGTCCTTGTTATCAGATCTTGTATAGCAGTTTAAAGCTTCTGTTCGGTAGTCAGATTTCACACATTAATAACTATCTTTGCATTTTTTTTAATCCTCACCTGAGGGTATTTTTTCCATTGCTTTTCAGAGTGAGTGGAAAAAAGAGAGAGAGAGAAACATCGATGTAAGAGAGACACATCTATTGGTTGCCTCTGACACTCACCCCAACCTGGGCCAGGGTTCCAGTCTGCTGGGAATCGAGCCTGCAGCCAAGGTACCTGCCCTAGGCTGGAGTCGAACCTAGGACCCTTAAGTCTTTGGGCCAGTGTCCTAACCTGGTGTGGCTCAGTGGTTTCTGTTCCTTCATTGTTAAAAATGAGAATGACAAAAGTATCTGCCATATTTTAAACAGACATTTTCCATGTTATGTGCTCTAGTTATCACCTTCAGTAATTTCAGACCCAGTAATGTGGTGAATTCAGTGAGCCTGAGCAGATGAGATCTGCCTGCTAATTTTTTCAGCTGAGGTTCCAGTTGAGGGGGAACTGTTATCTACAGTGAAAATGTTAACTTGATTATACATGTATGCTGCTGACATGGAAAGTTTTAAGAGAGGGGCTCCTTAACTCACTGTCTTGGAGAACCCTCTGGACTGCAGTACATTCCCTTTTTGCTGGTGGCTGTAGAAATCCCTATAGGTCAGTAGTCAACTGAGATCTACATGCTTTTCCCTTGTCCTTTGTCACACTCTTTCTTGTGGTACAGTTTTATGGGTAATAACACATGGCATACGGCATTGATTCTGTCTTATCTTTGTTAACACTGCCTGGCACAGTATCTCTACTTGGAACAGAGTTGATATGAAGACCAACAATAAAAAAATACTGGAAACATGGGTGTTTGACAGGTGTGCCTGAATCTTATTTTGAATTTCTGAAAATTGGGATTTTATGGCATTGATTTAAGAACACTCGCCTTATTTTTGGATCCATTTTATCTTTGACAAAGTCTAAAATAAAATACTCTTGTGAATTATGAGGATGACAAAAGCTAAGGATTTAGTAATTTTAATATTTTCCTGGTCACCTAAATTCTACTCCCTCTAGTTCCAATACTTAATGTTGTTTTAGATTCTCAATCTTTCAGGGCTGAGAAGCTCTGTCCTTCTAAGAATTTGATGAATTAGTTTAATATACTATATTCAGAAAACTTAACAACGTGGACATTTTTCTTCATACAAGTTAGGGAGCAGGAGGTTTGGATCTTCCTATCTTCATTTCGAATGAAATGCATTCCAGCCTTAACTGACTTGAGTGTGGTGTCTGAAGTTAGCATTTGCTGCTTCCTCTGAAACAGAGAACATAAAATTTATGTTGGGATTTACGTTTTTTTTATAATGAAATACATAGTATTAGCTAGTTGAGGCAAGTGCAATGATAAGGGGGGATAATATAAAATGCTTCTGTTTTATGTCATGGAATTCAACTTAGAATTGAAATTAGCATTGTGTTGATTCATAGATGACAACGAAAATTAAGAAACTGGAAAAAGAAATGATAATTTGGCGTACCAAATGGGAAAATAATAATAAAGTACTTCTGCAAATGGCTGAAGAGGTGAGAAGGTTTTACATGACTGAATAGTGAATTCTCATTTATTTCAATATTAAGTTAGGCTGGAACTTCTTGGTGTTTGCTAAAGTAATTTCAGGTTTGATTACTAAAGTTTGGTTAGTTTCCTGAAGCAAGTTAGATGGCTGTGAGTGAGCTATGTAAACTTCCCCCAATTATTTAGGTTAGGTTTGTGTTGCAGACAGCTCTAAAGTATCTAGATTGTGCTTTCTTCTATAGTAAGTGAGTTTATGCAGGTTAAGGACTGTTAAACTTGGTAGACTGCTCCCCTCAAAGTTTTTGATTCCTTAAATCTGGGGTGAGGCCCAAGAATTTGCAATTCTAAAAATTATCTAGATAATGTTGATGATGTTAATTCAAAGGCCACAACTTGAGAGTCTGTGATCTTCAGTAAAGAGAACTTGATTCAGATTTCCTATGCAGAGCGCACAAAATTACAACTAATTGCTTTTCTGTCCTAACTTACTCTTTCCAAAAGGCAACAAACTATTTTTTGTCAGACTTGTAAATCAAACTGAAATGTATTCCATGTGCAGTTACTAAATATCTCACTTTCATAAACTTGATAGGACTAATTTATAACATTTCATACTAGAAAGCATTAGGGCGCTAAAATGGTAGAAGAGAAGAAAGAAGTCTATGTAGACATAAAACATTATTCCTATTTCTAGCATTTTAAATTAAGATGCAGAATTCCCTTAATACTTACTAGTTTCTTAAAGTTACGAAGTGGATTACTCAAAGGAAACATGACAAAGAATTTAATTTTTGCATTGCCCCACATATAAATATTTTAAATACCAGTATACTATGACATCCAAGAGATGATAAGTAGTTTCCAGTGTGGCTCAGATTAATCTAATTTGTATTTACATAAACAAAGATTACATAAATTCTTTTTTTTTCTTCCCAGAAAACTATTCGTGATAAAGAGTACAAGGCCTCTCAAATGAAACTGGAACGGTTAGAGAAGCTCTTTAGAGCTCTTCAAATGGAAAGAAATGAGCTCAATGACAAGGTGGAAGTCCTGAAAGAGCAAGTCTCTGTAAAAGAAGCAGATGTAGTTTTAGCAACAGCTGTGATACAGCCCTGTACTACTATTGATTCTCAGAAAGAGTTGAACACTTCCTCTAAAAGAGCTCCAGGAATCTACTTGCAGGATGAGACCAAGGCAGCAAATAAATCAAAACGCAGTTCAAAACACCCTTACCACATGATCTCTTCTGGGCATTGATTCAGTTAATGAGATGATGACTGTATTGAGAGATATATTTTCTATATAACTTTTCTGTAGCAGCTAGTATTGATTTTCAAATGAAAGTTTTCTTACTTTTTCTACCACTTCTGTATTTTCTTAGAACTATTGAACTACATGATACATGAGGCTACTTAGCAGTTTTCCATTGTTTTAATGTATACATTTTCAGAGCTGTATTGCATACCTTCCTTATTTTCTCTTTCATTGGAATATATATTCATTGCCTTGGCCTTTTAATGTATCTGTTCATGTGTTCATTGCCTTATCTTTGCCCTTTTCATATAATTATCATGATTAAATTTAGACTGGTTCTGACGTTGCTTTCCTGTGTAAAAACTAAAATTAATTTAAACTCTCTAGTCCACTAACTAAAAAGAGAAAATATAAAGGTGATTAGTTTTGTGTGGTAGCTCATTTAAATGCCAATTGAAAAATAAAACCAGTATGGAATGTGAAACAAGCAGAGCATATTTGATTCATATCAGCTTTTTGATAATTTTCATCACTTGACAAATTGAGATGACTGCAACTCTTGACTCTCTCAAAGTTGTGGCAGCTTATCTATATATATGAGCATACCATTTGAAAAGAAAGTAGGATATATAGGCACGTCATTGAGACAAGCAGGCCTAGTGTTTATTTGACTAAAAACAGCTGTACTGGTTTAGTTTCTGGTTAGAACAGACATCTGGAAGGAAAAAAAAAAAAACAGTACTAGGTCCCTATATAAAATGGGGAAATTTCTAAACATTGTAATTTCCTTATTTTATTTCAATGCTGAAAAGCTGAACATTTAAATGTTCCTTTCACACTTATGTAGTAAAATGGGTTAAAAATGCAAAATTATACAATAGGAAAAAGAACCCAGGGTGTGAAATACTTAAAAATTTTTTTTACCATTGACCATGATAACAGGCCAGAGAGTGAAGGAAAAGAAATGTATGTGAAATTTTACTATGCCAAAATTAGAATCAAACAAGCCTCCCTCAAGTTTATTAATACTTCCTTCAGCTACTAAATGAAATATTGGACCCAACTCTTTGAGGGGAAATGAAGATACATGTCAGAAATAGAATTTAACTTAAAACTGATAACTATTGAGCATATTTCACCAATACCCAGCCACTTGTAAGCTCTTAACATTTTAAGAAAGTTGTGTGGCCTGTCACACTTATTTATGTTACTTGTTTTGTGTAGAGTATAAATCTTGGGCTGAGAACTTGGTGGTTGACAGCACTTGGTATATTGTTTTAAATACTACTTGTATTAGTTAATACTGTGTAGTAATATAAGATATTAAGAGCATCTAGATTGTTTGGGAGACTTTTGGTTTCCTTTCAGAATTTTTCCTTGTTACCAAGTGGAAAAAAAAGAGGAATGGGCTAATGAGAAGGGTTCTTTTCTGAATGACTGTAATATTCCCAGTTACTACTATATTCTAGAACCCAAGTTGGGTAGGGCTGCTCTATACTTGAGCAAATCTTAAATATATGGTTTCTGACCCTTTATTTTTCAGCCCTTGTTTGAAAATACTATAGCTTTCCCACAAAAAGTTTAAATGCTTCAGTCAGTTAAATTGTGTTGGTGTGCCTTTTTGTGGAAACTTCTGGTGTTCTAAAACCTATAGTGTAATGGATTTTAACATAGAGAAAAGAACATGGGTGCAAAATACCGGACCATTTCATCTTAAGATTTGTAGAAATGCATTTTAGGGTTATGAGACTTATTTTTTATTTGTGTATCACTTTCATTGCACCTATTATCACAGTTCACTTCTCATGTGTTTCAGAAAGATCTACCTCTTTTCAGACTGTAAGTGAAAGTAACAAAAAAAAGGGGTGCAGTACTAAGTGCACTGCTTTATTTTTATAGCTCACATCTTTCATGGAGATAACAGAATCGATGAGGCAGTCTTACTTTGTTTTTCAAAGACATTTTGTAGAGATTTTTCACTAATATGAATCTTATTTTCTCTGCTTTGTTAAGGTTTAGTAAATACGTAATGATTAACTTAACAGCCTCTGTGTATTCTTTACATTTAATGACTTTAGTTATAAAACAAATTCAAAGATAATTTTTATAAACAGCTGATTTCTCAGGTCTTAAAACATAGTTAATTATTGCACAGTTTAAATAAGCAGGGAGTAGAGGAGACTCCTCTCTGATTGGTTGGCAAAAGTCATTCAGCCAGAGCTCTCTTAACATTTTTTTTCCCTTTAAAGTAGGTGATTCTAGAATATTTCTGTAATGTAACTTTTGGCAAAGCTTTAAAAAGCTGCAGGGATTGAATTTCTCTAGTCCTAGCTGATCTTGGCAAGGACACATATGTAGAATTTCAGTGATTTTTATTTAAGCAAAAATTAAGTCCATCTAATCCTATGTAAGCAAGTAAGCAAGTTTCATTTTTGATTTCATCAAAATTAGAATTATACCATAATCTTTTTATTTGCAATACTTGAAATAAGTCATTTTGAAGTATTACACAACCTGGTGCTTAGAAACATTTCCACGTAGAAACAATAAATTGTATAAGTTTATTTAAAAAATATTTTTGTTGGATTTATTAGGGTGATAATTGGTTAATAAAGTCATACAGGTTTCAAATGTACAACTCAATAATACGTCTGCATACTGCATTGTGCGCTCACTACCCCACCATCACCACTTACTTCCCCCACTTTATTCTTTTCCAGCCCCCCCACCCTCCATTCCCTATTATAGTCACCATACTGTAGTCTGTGTCTGTTTTTTTTTTCACCCAGCCCCTCAACTCCTCCAATACCAGTGTTTTCTGTATCTATGATTTTTTCTTCATAATTTTATTTTGTTCATTAGATTCCACATATAAGTGAGATACGGTACTCACCTTTCTTTGACTGGCTTCTCTTTTTAATTCTCAAACGAGGATATTTTTTTCCATTGCTCTTCAGGGAGAGAGAGAGAAACAGGGGAGACACATCAATTGGTTGCATCCAGAGGCGCCCCAACCAGGTGGGGGATTAAGCCTGCAACTGAGGTACATGCCCTCAGCTGGAATTGAACCCAGAACCCCCTGAGTCCACTGCTCTATCCACTGAGCCAAACCCACTAGGGCTTGACTGGCTTACTTCAGTTAGCATAATAACCTCCAGGTCCATTTGTGCTGTTGTGAAAGGTAAGCACATTTTTATGTTCTAGTTGAACAGCCTGGGAGAAAGCCAGTATCTGCCCTGTTACAGCACAAATGAAGAGAAACAATGGAAAATGGCACTGAAAAATGACAAGAGTCAGCTATCGATGAAACAACCAAAATTAAAAACTTTCTACCTCAAAGAACATTACAAACAAAGGCAATCTATAAAATGGGAGATACTGTTTCTAAAACCTACATGATAAGCATATACTATCCAGAATACACAACTCTTACAACTCAATAAAAAGACACAAATTTGGAAAATAACTTGAAGATATGTAATAAACATGAAATCTAGCTCAACATCATTAGTCTTTAGGGAAATGCAAACCAAATATGAGATACGACTTTATACTTACTGTCCATAAGAAGTAGCACTAACCAGGAAAAAAAAGGTGAGGATGAACAGAAACTGAGACTCCTGTAAATTGTTTAGAGAAATGTAAAATGGCTTAGCTGATGTGGAAAAGAGTTTGGTTCCTCAAAAAAATGAGTTTTATGAAACGGCAACCTAACTCTACATTGAAAATAATTGAAAAAGGTACACATGTTCATAACACTTCACAACAACCAAAAGGAAACTAATTGCAATAGAAGAATGGATAAGTACATTCTGATACATCCATACAGTGGTGTAATATCCTGTCATAAGACTAAAGAATATCTGCTGTAACAATGAATCTCAAAAACACTGCTTTGCTGAAGAAGCAGAAAAAGGCCATTTATATCAAGCTGTATAAAGCATGTCTTTATTTTTGTAATTGTGATGCTTTGCCATCTAATGTTGCTGTCCCTCCAAGTGCTAATTTTTAATTATTTTTTACTTACAGTTGACGTTCAACACACATACAGATAGTGGTTAGGCATTTATATATATAAAATAATCCTGAAATTTCAAGTATCCACCTGGCACCATACATAGTTACAATACTATTGACTATATTCCCTACGCTGTACTTTACATCCCCATGACTATTTTTATAATTGACAATTTGCACACCAGTTCTTTCACCGTTTTCACCCACCCTCCAAACCCCTTCCCATCTGGCAACCATCAGTTTGTTCTCTATAAGTTTGTTTCTGTTTTGTTTGTTCACTTATTTTGATTTGTAGATTCACATCTAAGTGAAATCAGGGTATTTGTCTTTCGCTGTCTCACATTTCACTTAGCGTAATAACCTCTAGATCCTTCCAAGTTGTTACAGGTGGCAAGCTTATTAATTTTTATGGATAAAGGAATATTATAGATATGTACCACCTCATTGTATATGGATATCGTCTATTGATGGAATTTAGATTGCTTTTATATCTTGGCTGTTATAATTTTGCAGTGAACATAGGGGTGCCTATGTGTTTTTTAATTAGTTTTGGGTTTCTTCAGATAAGTATCCAGAAGTGGAATTGGTGGGTTCTTCTTTGTCTCTTGTTATAGTCTGTTTTTAGAGCCTCTGTTTTGTCTGGTGTATGTATTACTACCCCAGCTGTTTTACATTTCCATTTGCAGGAAATATTTGATCCCTTTGCTTTCACTTTATGTATGTCTGTCAATCTGTAGTGAGTCTCTTGCAAACAGCATATGTAAGGGTCTTGTTTTCTTATCCATTCAGCCATCCTCTATCTTTTGACTGGAGCATTTAATCCATTTACATTAAAAGTATTGGTAGGCATGTAGTTATTGCCATTTAATTGTTGCTATTTTAAAATATTTTCCCCCTTAAACCACTTTTAGATTTCTTGTAATACTGATTCAGTGGTGGTGAACTCATGTAGCTTTTTTTCTTTTTGTCTGGCAATGTGTTTTTCCTTCAATATTAAATGGTGGCCTTGCTGGATAAAGTAGTCTTGGCTGAAGGTCCATGCTTTTCATCACTTTGAATATTTCACACCAGTCCCTTCCTGCCTGAAGTGTTTCTGTTGAAAATCAGCTGACAGACTTATGGGCACTCCCTGGTAGATAACTGTCTTTCTCTTACTGCCTTTAAGATTCTCTCCATTTTTAACCTTTGCCATTTTAATTATGATGTGTCTTGATGTGGGCCTCTTTGGATTCATCTTGTTTGTTTGGGATTCTCTGTGCTTCCTCGACTTGTGTGACTTTTTCATTCACCAGGTCAGGGAAGTTTTCAGTCATTATTTCTTCAAAGAGGTTCTTGGTCCCTTGCTCTTGCTCTTCTTCTGGTACTCCTGTGGATGTTTTTGTGCTTTAGGTTGTCCTCAAAGTCCCTTATACAATCCTTATTTTTAAAAGTTATTTTCCTTTTTCTTTTTTTAAAAATATATCTTTATTGATTTCAGAGAGAGGAAAGGAGAGGGAGAGAAAGATAGAAACATCAATGATGAAGAGAGTCATCATCGATTGGTTGCCTCCCCCTGCTGGGGATCGAGCCCGCAACCCGGGCATGTGTCCTGACGGGGAATCGAACCCCGATCGCCTGGATCCTAGGTTGATGCTCAACCGCTGAGCCATGCTGGGCCGGGCTTTTTTTTT